GATTTGACGTCACATTACCCACTAGAGCCATTCATCTATAAACTCGGTCGTGGGGCAAGATGGCGGCCGATTTTCCGTATTTTGAGTGGGCATAGAAAATTGAAGATTTGAGCAAATAAAAAAATTTTTGCGCAGAAATACTCAAAAAAATAAGCTTACTTCATTAAGCGAAAAAAATTTTTTGGGTATAGGTGCACTTTAACTATTATTTTGGTGGACGAGCTGGAATTAATTTGCTTTGATGCTTAACACAGAGTTGAAATACTGTAAGATAAAGAATAGCCTTATACAGAATTTTTTTCCACAGTTAAAAAAGTTTATCTATGGGCGACTTTCATAATGGCGGGCGACGAGCGAAGACTGGTATTGAATTTTGCATGAGAGCGAGGCCATACAGTCATCTTTCACGGTAAAACACAAAAGTTTGTACGGGAGTATTCAACCGAGTCATAAAAATTAATGAAGACATTTCCTTCTGAAAGTATACAATATTTTAATACACCTTTACAAGTATAGACAGTAGATATCATCTCTTGTTACTCTTGTGGTTTTATTTGCTGAATTATTTACAAATAATGGCTAGTCACTGCTGTGTACCACAGTGTACTGCGAGAGGCGTCCATGGCGAAGACGACGGAAGGCTTTCTTTCTTCACCTTTCCTTCACTGAAGAAAAAATGGATCCATGCCATAAGAAGAGAGGAAGGACCAAACTTTAAAGTCAGTAAAACAACGGTATTTTGTGGTCAACATTTCAGGGAAAGTGATATTAAAAGAACCATGGCCGGAAAAAACATGTTGAAGCCCAGAGTCGTGCCTTCCTTGTTTACATGGGTTCGCACCTCGCTGAGAAAACGGAATCCACCAAAAGTAAGACTGTTCTCTATTGACCAGCATACGGAGATGCAAACAAAAAAGAAACCCATTCAAGAAGTGATCATCGAAGAACAAGAAGAACAAGCTTTTATCAACGAAATTCAACCTACAAGTGTTGACTTTGGGACACAAACTGACTTCACTGATTATGAAGAACGCTTACGAGACACTATACAAGCATTAAATCAAAAGACTGAATATCTTGTATTAAAAGTCTTGCACTTAGAGCAAAAAAATAATGATTTGAAAAGCAAATTGTTTTCTTTGGAGAATATACAAAATATGAAGGATTCTAGTGCCTTTTATACAGGAATTTTAAATTGGGATTCATTCATAGCCATCTACAATTACCTTGATCCAGGGGAATTGGGTGAAAACATCAATTACTGGCTATCGTCAAATACAAATATTGAGATCTTTGACTATTCTGATGATACACATTAAACGAGCATAAATAAAATAAAAAAACTTTCATGTTTGGGATCGAGTAATTCCTTTGCATCAGTTTGGTATAGTAAATCAAATGTGGGCAGTATGTGCCATTCTATGCAATGCTCAAGCAAACATAATTTCAATCTGACTTTATCTGACTAAAACATTTTCAATTTCATATACATATCAAGTAATTATGAGTAATAATACATTAATAAGTAATACTGTTGTTTTAATTTCTCTTTAGATAAGAGCTGATAATTTATCTCTAGGCACATTCAAAATAATCAAAATATAATATCAAATTATTGTATCAAAATAATAAACTAAAACAATAACAAGATTAATGTGGCAATGCCAACTTTATCCATAACTGTTATCACTACTTCTGCCAATCAACCAACAAAGCTTTAATGAATCTGTACAATCAATAACAATTTGTTATGTGAAGCAAAATGAAAAAAGGCTATCACAAATGTTCAGTACAGTTTGAGCAGTGATTCAATTTGGATTGAAAATGGTTGCATACAAATATATATAATTGGCAAAAAATGCAAATAAATCACCGTCAGTTACACTTTCAGTAACACCTCCTCTAATATATTGAGGGCAATTTTTAATTAATGGGGCAGATCGTTTTTTGAGTAACTGTGACAACACTGTGTTTTCACATTCGTCCCAAGCACAATGTATTTCCTAAGATATTCGTCCTCATCAAATTGTTTGCCTTTATGCAACGCAGTTGGGTTGCTATGCTGGTCTTTGTTGGCAATTATTTTCCCTGATTTCCCTATATGTACATCAATATTAGTTCTCGTAAATATGGGCATCTTGTGAACAGACAAAGTCCAATCACTTGCTGGATATTTCAAAGGCTGTGTTGAGGAGGAAGTTGAGTCATCATTCATGGCGCTCGTACTTAGTAATTGCTTTCTTTGAGAATAAATTTTGTTCGGATCAGGATCGACTATTTTTTTGTCTCTTCCTGATGAAATATAATCATTGACTCTGAAAATAGTACCGACAATTTAGGATGTCATTTCGGTGGTTAGAATCACGTTGAATGCAAGCAAACGTACCTTTTAACAATCTGTGCTTTTGTTTTTAATCCTTTCCCATTGTCCCCACGACATCTAAGCCAAAACTTCAACTCATCATTTTTCAATTCTTCAGGTTTTCGACCACACAAAGAAGCTCCTGGTATATCATTCTCACTCAACTTAACAATACTATCACTACTATCGCTATCTTCAGCCGCTATGTTTTTTCGCACTTGACTGGATGACCTCGACCTCATGTACTAGTGCCAAATTTCCCTAGGCATCTGTCATTATGAAAGTCGTGTATGCTAAGGGTCACACCATCAAAGACAAGGTGAGTAACAATGTATAAACAAAAATGAACTAAGAATTCTTATCAACAGCTTTTTTAACACTTGAGCAAAATATTCTTGTATCATGTGCATACCTGTACCGGTCATTGCCTTTACCATCACTTCCCCTTGATTGAATTTGTTTTATTCCCTGTGCAAAATTTGGCAAATATTATATTTTACCTGGGTACCAATTACAAGAAGGTTTACTTTGGAAATCTCCACAAATTTTACAGCACTTAGAATTATAATATTACAGCTTTGTTTAAGCTTCTGAAACAATTCCTTCAAATTGAACAGCAAGTGAATCCATTAAGATAATACATCCAATGTGGTTTGTGAAAAATTAAGTTTGTAAACAGAATGTGAACAAGATTTTAAAAAGCATTGAATACTAAATAATTGCGATAAAACATTTTTGAAAATCATTTTAAGACTAAAAAATTGCTAGAAGATGACGACGTTTGGACGTTGGCAAAACGTCATTATCAAGTCAAAACATGTTTGTGAGTTCCAGTCTATAAATACTTAAAAAAAA